TAGTCATCCCTGGCTTATAGGAAACCAGGCCCAAGTTGAGGCCACACACTTGTGTAAGAGCCTTGTGACCTAGCTGTGACTGAACAAACAACCAACAGATTCCCTCCAGCGACCATCATCTGACTGCCCTGAAGAATTTGACCCTCTCGTGCCTAACAGGAGGGGTTTGTGGTGTGCCCCTTCTTTTGCCTCCTGGGTCAAAAAGGAAGACAGAAAGAACAGGGAGGTAAGAGGGTCTGAGAAGGCAAAGATCTGGTTTGCCCTTCAGGCTGACTCAGAGTCTAGAAACTTCAACACAACTGATAAAGCAAAAATTGCCTTCAGAGACAATGTGTCATTCCCTAATGATACCCCAAACAAAGATGCTAAAACTGACAAATGCTGGCTGCACATCAAGCCTGAGGCCAGCTTGAGCTACACAAGATTCTGTTTAAAACAAAACAGAACAAAATAAAACAAAACACCCTCTGCTTACATAGGGCTGAAGTGTTTGGAACCTTGAGTTTTCTGGAATTAACACTCCTCTCTCCTCCCCACATCTTCCAATATGCCTCATCAGGTCACAATGCCATGCCAATGGAGGGGGGGGAACTGTGAGTAGGAATCACTGAAAAAAGCTGTCTACAAAGACTAATTGGCTGAGTACAACTGCATTGATGTCGGCATCTTGGAATGTTGCAGTTCTAGAGCCTAATGATCTTGGGGTGTCTTTAGCCCCCCTAAAGATCTATTTATTGCCTTCCTTTGTATATGATCCAAAATCTGCTATGATAAATCCTTTGGAATGTAAAACAACCTTGCCTTAGTTTGCTGCTACTGTGATAAAACCATGACCAAAAGCAGTTTGGGGAGGAAAGAGTTTATTTGGCTTACATGTTAAGTCCTTTGAGCCAAGTCGAGAATTTGAGGGTTAGGGTTACAGGTCTGGCAGCTCACAATGGCCTGTGACTTCAGCTCCAGGGAATCTGAAGCCTCCTTGGGGTCTTCATGAGGAACTGTTCACATGTCACACACACACACACACACACACACACACACACACACACACACACACACACACACACTTCATGTAATTTTTTTTTAAAGTCTTAAAAAAAAAAAAAAAAAGTACAGGTTGAGCCAGGTTGTGGCAGTGCATGCCTTTAATCCCAGCACTGGAGAGGCAAAGGCAGGTGAATCTCTGTGAGTTTGAGGCCAGTCTGGTTTACAGAGAGAGTTCCAGGACAGCCAGGGCTACACAGAGAAACTGTCTCGAAAAGCCAAACCAACCAAACAAACAAAAACAATACAGGTTGATGAGATGAATGTATTATCTCATTTCTCACTAGAACCTTCTTGGTTGCCTTCTGTTGGCATTTCCATGAGGCAGTTGCTGAGAAATGGGCTAAGTACCCTGCCTGAGGCCCCTCGTTGGTGGGGAGTGGAGTTCTTTCTGATGGACTTCAAGCCCAGAGCAACACAGTTCCCGGCATTTAGACAGCACTGATGTAGCTAGAAGACGGGTTGCAGCTTCCTTTTGGTGGCGATTCTATCAGATTTCTCATAGACCAGAAACATTGCTACTTTGTTTCTTTATGTTATTCATTCCTGCTCTCAATTAAGTCAACACCACAGCACCTGGAACGGAAGTTTGTGGAATCCCAAAATGGGTAAAACTTTTGAAGCACTGTGATGTCAAGTTAATAAACGAGAAACCATTTACAACCACAAAGGCTCTTCTTATTTGAGCAATTGAAAGGGCTTCTGTGAGACCTGGTTTGTTCGGGCTTATGATTTCATACCTGGAACAACCTGCAAAAATGTCAGACTGGGAGAGGGGAGGGTTTGTTAGCAGGACTTAGCTTGAGAGCTGAGGCAGAATTTAAAAGTTTTTTATTTATTATATTACATTCTGACCACAGTTTCCCCTCCCTCCTCTCCTCTAAGTCCTTCCCCTCATCTCCCCTGTCCTTTGGATCCTCTTCCTTTCTCTTCAGAAAAGGGTGGGCCTCCCAGGGATATAGACCAAACATGGCATATCAAGTTGCAATAAGACGAGGCACAGCCCCTCATCTGAAGTCTGGATGAAGCACCCAGGAGGAGGAAAATGGTCCTGAAAGGAGGCAAAAGAGTCAGAGACACCCAACTCCCACTGTTAGGAGTCCCACAGGAACACCAAGCTACACAACTGCAACATAAATGCAGAGGCCCTAGGTCAGAACCCTATAGGCTCTGATTGTTGGTGTCTGTGAGCCCCTTTGAGCCCAAGACAGTTGATTCTGTGAACTGTTTTTTTGTGGTGTCTTTTGGCCCCACTGGCTCATACAATCCTTCCCTGTCCTCTTCAGCAGGATTCCATGAGCTCTGTTTAATGTTTGACTGTGGGTCTCTGCGTCTGCTCCCACCAGTTACTGTATGAAGTCTCTAAAAGGGGTTTTTGTGCTGGCTGGTGGTGGCACATGCCTTTAATCCCAGCACTGGGGAGGCAGAAGCAGGTGGATCTCTGTGAGTTCAAGGCCACATGATCTATATAAAGCTACACAGAGAAACCCTGTCTGAATTTTTTAAAGATACATTTTTACTGTATATGAGTGTTTGTCTGCATGTATGTATATGTATTATATGTGTGCCTGGTGCCCAAGAGGCCTGAAGAGAGTGTCAGCTCCCCTGGACCTGGAGTTACAGGTGATGGGGAGCCTGCCAATGAGGATGCAGAGTAGCAGCCTTGGGTCCTCTTCAAGAGCAGCAAGCATCTTCCCTGCTGAGCATCTCCCAGCCTTCAGGGAGAATTTTAAAGTGCTCATTCTGTTGCTGCAGAGCCCAAGTCCCTTGATGGTGAAAGTATTAGAGGAGTGGAAGTCAAGACCATTTGGTAAAAATAACACACTCTCCACCCCCTAAAGTTGTGATTTTCTCTGCACTTCTGCAGTTATGAGCCTTATAAAGAGACGCCAGGTCCAGCCTTCACACCCGAGAAAGCTTTCCTTGGCTGAGCTCAGGGTGAGTCTCAAATTCAGTGTTTGTTGCAGTCTTGCTGGTAACACTGACCATGGTCTGTCTTCCTAATTCAGAGCCCTTCAAACCCCACCCCACCCCCTTTCTTCCCCCAGACACTCACTGTGGCCTTGCACCCTTTCCCATGTGAGTGAAAGGAAAAGCTCACAGATCCTGGCATCATTGCCTGGAGGGGAAACATAATGAGAGTAAGGCTCCAGCTGAGCAAGACAGTTTGTTACTTTGAGCAATCATTGGGCTAGGCCCTAGCACACTGCAGGCAGCTGCCCTAGAGTTAGCAAGGGTGGACAGGAAGACACAGCCTTTCCTGTCCTCAAGGCAGTGATGTCAGTCCCCAAGCAAAAGAGCCTGGTGGAAACCATTTGTCACCTAAAGTTCACCTGACTCACCTAGCAAATGAGGTCACCACCTCTGTGAGCTAATGACCTTTATTCACAGAAAAACACACTTATTTCTTCAGGACAGGGATGGTTTGCAGCTGAAACCTACGTCAGGTTCCCTCTCCTCCAAGGAAACTGGTAGTTCCTGGTCTCCCCTGATTACATCCCTATAGCTGAAAGCTCGAAAGCTCCACAAGCTTACCTAGATAGCAAAAAAAAAAAAAAAAAAAAAAAAAAAGATTCATATATATACCAAAGAGATCAAAAAAACGTGACAAGCCTTCTCCAATGAACGTTATATGAAAAATAAGGATAATGAGGGAGTGAGTAGAGTGATGTAGATAGAAGTTTTTGTCCCACCAGCCAACCCCCAAATAACCACACAGAGACTTATTAATTCTAAAAGTTCAGCCAATAGTTTAGGCTTGTTACTAACTAGCTCTTACAACTTAAATTAACCCATATTTCTAATCTACACTCTACCACATTGTGGGAATTTTTTTTTTTTTTTTTTGGTATGGTATGGTATGTTTATCTTGCTTCTCTCCACATCTGGCTGTCGACTCCCAGCCGCCCCCACCCTTCTTCCCAGCATCCTCTCAGTTTGGCTCTCCTGCCTAACCTCTTCCTGCCTAGCTCTTGGTCACTTAGCTCTTTATTCAACCAACGAGACCAGGATCTTCAGATTACAACTTCTGGTCCACAGGTAGCAGGGGTTTGCTGGTTGAGTTTTGTTGCCTTGCTTGTTTCTGCCCTTCCTCAACCTTCTTTCTTTTTCTCCCTTCCTCTCTTTTCCTTCCTCTTTCTTTCTTGGTTTATGTTCCCCTCCCCTTTTCTCAGGGTCTCACTATGTAGACTGTCCCCTTCCCAGGGCTGTGTGGCACCACACCAGGGGATGGTTTGTTTTGTTTTTGTCACAAATTAAGTGCTCCCACTCTCTACATAAAAATCAACTCATCTGATCGGTTTTACTATTATTATTATTATTATTATTATTATTATTATTATTGTTTTACTTTGCAGCCCATGCTGGACTTCAATTCACGGTCCTCCTCATATATCTGACTCACAAACACTGGATTACAGGCACTCACCTTTGATCTTTACACGTCCTGCACCCCAAATCCAATGCTAGAGATTGAACCCCAAACTTTGTGCATGCATTCAAGGCACTAAACTACATCTCAAGCTTGATCAGATTGAAAACATTTTTTAAAAAATATTTACTTATTTGGAGGGTGGGAGACACCTGCTTGTCCTGTGTGTGTGTGTGTGTGTATGTGTGTGTGTGTATGTGTGTGAGTGTGTGTGTGTGCATGTATGTGTGTGAGTGTGTGTATGTGTGTGTGTATGTATGTGAGTGTGTGCATGTATGTATGTGAGTGTGTGTGTGTGCATGTGTGTGTATATGTATGTATGTGAGTATGAGTGTGTGTGTGTGTATGGGCAGGTGCCACAGCATATGTGTGGAAGTCAAAGGACAATTTGTAGGAATTAGTTTTCTCTTCCCATCCCGTGGGTTCTGGGGATCAAACCCAGGTCATTAGGCTTAGCAGCAAGTGCTAAGCCATCTTCCAGCCTTCTCATTTTAAAGGAAATACATGCTACAAAAGCAGAAAAGGGGAGCACAAGTGGAGTTTTATTTTATAATCTTTTTACAACATAGGCTGTAGGACAGAGAAGGGTTAATCAGAGTTGGAGAGCAGGGTGAATTCTGGAAGGTTCCAGGGCCCTGTGACATGCGGCCCAGCCTATTGTACAATTGTAGGGACAGTGACAGTGGCTTGTGCCCAGAGGCCAGCAGGAAGCTTCACTCCTGACCACAGTGATAGGTCTGGGTGACACTCAAATATGGTTTGGAAACTATTTTTACTTGCAAACTTGGTCCACAGGTATTGTGGCCAACTCTGTTGCATCCACACTTGGTGTTCAGCTGTTGTATGAGGCATTTGGAAAATTTCTATATTCCCTCTTTCAAAAAAGAAAAAAAAAAAAAAAAAAAAACAGTTGGTTTTCAGCATAAGTGCCACCAAGAGAAAGTCCTAAGAAGAAAACATCCTGTCCAAGAGTAGAGGGATTTCTAATGTGGTGAACTGGGCTGCAGTTTCTGAAGGGTCAGCTGGCCCTTCCTGTTCATAGAAGCCAGGATAAGCGGTTGTGGTGCGGTTGTGGTGCTGTTGTGGTGCTCAGGGGGTGCGGCTGGCCCTGATCTTGGCCTTGCTGCAGCCTGGAGTTCCAGCCCACTGCATTTCATCAGGATCTCAGCAGATGCAGCAGGCTCTGCAGGGCTTCCTCAAGTCCCTGGCCTGTGAGAGCGCTGCAGGCCCGGAGCTCCCAGCAATTGTCTTGGAACCTTTCCAGGCCCAGCCTATTTCTGATTTCAAGCAACGGAAGAGCATCAGGCGCCTCCTGCTTGTTGGCCAGTACCAAGAAAGGGACGCCCGCCATGTTGGGGTCTCCCAGGACTTCATAGAGCTCAGCCACTGCCTCAGGCAAGCGAGCTTCATCTGTGCTGTCTAGCACATACACAAGGATGTTAGTGCCCTCCAGGTAGTCCTTCCAGGTAGCCCTGAGCTGAGCCTGTCCCCCAATGTCCCAGAGAATCAGTGACACACGCCCAGGAGGTTCAAGAGGCTCTACATTGAAACCAACAGTGGGTAAGGTCTCCACCAGCGGATTCCCTTTCAGTTTGTACAGGATAGTGGTCTTGCCAGCAGAGTCCAGCCCCATCATCACCACCTGAGCTTCTGCCTTGGGACCTCTGGAATTCACAGAGCCCATGGTGGCTTCTGACAATTCAACTGCAGAAAGTCTGGGGACCGCACACCAGCTATTCTTTTTCTGTTTTGTTTTTTCAGAAGAAATGCAAACCCACGCAGACACACTGACCATCTACCCTAGAACAAAACAAGTCATTTCAGGAGGTGAGGAAGTGTGAGTCACCAGCAACTGACCGATCTCTGGCGCTGCAGAAGGTCTGCCTGAAGATACAGACCTGGGCTGCCCCTCCTCAGTGGTTAGAGCAGAGGTGAGAGGAAGCTTCAGTCAGACCCTGTTCAGTAGAGGCGGCAGGAAGGTGTTTTCAATTCAGCAACGTCGGTGGCCTCTGGCCCTTCTGTTTTCCTCCCTAAACCCAGAAGTAGCAGCACACTGCATTGCACACTGCATTCCAGACTGCGTAGGGAAGCCAGGTCACCAAGTGCTAGCTTTTTGGATCTCTTCCCGGAATCAGCACACCGGCCTTTCCCATATCTATTGACAACCACTTGCTGACTCAGGCGAATTTGAGTCAGAGCCAAGACATCTTCTACACCACCTCAAAGGCCTCTAGAATACCCCACATGGTTTTTAAGAAGCCCTAATCTTTAAGGCCTACAAACTGTCTAAAGCTTAGGAAAAACTTGGGGGAGGCAAGCGAAGGGGCACAACACTCCTGGGAGTGTGCATCAAGGCCTTATTGACCCCTGGCAGGGGTAGGAGAGCAAGCATTGGAGTTACCTCTGGTGTGCCTGGACTGTGGCAGGCATCCCTCTGCTAAGGCACTTCTCTGCCATCAAGCTGCTTGCTGTTGGTCGCCACGTCCCAAGAGTGAGGCCTGAAGGAAGTGTAGTGGCTGTTGCAATTTGTCCCTTTTCTGCTTCCTCTCTCAAGTGGTTAGGGAGGAAATCCTCCTATACTGGAGGGTGCCTCACAGACATCTCAGCTCTCCAGTGCTTGGTGGAGCCCAGCCCAGCACCAATTCTCATCCCCAAGATCTGAGGGTATTGCCCAGGGGCAAAGGTGTGCTGCCTTTACTGCTTCCTGTTGTATTTGCCTTGACTCCTGTGACGACCTCGCTGAGAAGTCAGAAACACAGCCTTTTGGCACATGCATCAATGCATTTTTGGTGCCTGGAGGGTCTTTGCTTTGTAAAACTGTGAAGCTTGCAGGAATCAAAATGGAGTCGCTTGTTAAGCCCTAACAAAAAGAAGAGGAAATAGTGAATTAATTAATTATAAGTAAGTAAATAAGTAAATAAAAAACCGCATTTTACATAAGAAAAAAATGCAGTACTTGTAGGAGTCTGGTTTATTTAATTTAATATGACAATCTCCATCCATTTTCCTGGAAATAACTGTGTGTGTGTGTGTATGTGTGTATGTGTGTGTGTGTGTTACTTTATTTTCTATTGCTATGACAAAATACCCTGACAAAAGCAAATCAAGAGAGAAAAATTTCTCTGGCTCACTGCTCAGGAGGATGGCCCATCATGGCGGGGAAGTCCAAGCGGCTGGAATATCTCTGTTCCGAGAAGAGAGATAGACACAAAGATCCTCACACCCTTGCCACCCTCATCACCTACTCACAAAGCAACGTCCTCATCAATAAGACCAGAAACATAAATAGCAAGGTTCTAGAAGAACTCTGCTCTGCCAAATCACTGCCTGCCATGCTCGTGGATTTCCAAGCTTCTCTTAGACCTGTCACATCCCATAGGCCTTCTACAGAAATCACAAAGCTCTGTGCCTAGAAGACTTCAGTGTCTTAGAATAGGTAGGTAGGCCCGATTTACTCTCACTACATATGCACACACAAGCGGATTCTCTTATTGAGCCTTAAAAAACAATAACAAAAACCAGAATCTTTAACTAAGTCTTGAATCCCGTATCATATGTCCTATCAGTGTTAGCTTACTTACACCCCTCTGAAGCTCCAAGAGATAATATTTTTGTTGTGGCCATGCTGGGGATTAAATATAGGGCCTCACATGTGCCCTCACTACTTGACCATGGTTTGCCTGGATGGTTAGGGTACCAGAAGGAAAACAACTGGAAAATAGGTGTCAAGGACATTGTGGGGAGAATCCCTAGATGCTTGTCCCATCTGAATGCTTACTGAGATTCTAAGTTGTAGAAGATCAACTGAGAAGAATTGATTGTAAACAATTGGGGGGGGGGGAAGGATGTCAGTCTGTGCATACCAGTCAGGCTCTTCAGCAGAGCTTCAATCTTCTAGTAAGATGCTTCTTCCTGGGCTCGTGGTTTTGGCTTTGTGAGTCTGGATGTGACTCAAGAAATCATCTCTTCTAGAGACAGCATGGGATTAAAGTGGGTCTGGAGAGGGTCCATGGACACTTTGGTCTCTTCATGCCCCAGAAGGTGCTTTTCTTATTAGGACTTACTCCAGTTCAGTTCCCAATACTTCAGCAGCTTAAACTGTGAGTTCTGTTTTTAACTTTATTGAGGTAGTTTCTTATGATCATGAATGTGGTCTAGCTTATTGTATTTCAGTGTGAGTAGACAATTGAGGGAAATTTTATAAAGTATTTCATTGTCCTTTTTAAATTAGAGTGTGAACTTACTGATTTCCATTGTTTTCCCTGGCCATTTCTGATAAAAAGCCATTGAAATTTACAACTAAAATAGTTTTGGACGAATGGGCAAAAACAATTCTCATTTCCTCTTTAAATATTGACATTTTAAAATATATATATAATACTTTGTTTTTTATTTTTATTACTGACATATTTCCTTGCTTTGAAATCTGCTCAGTTTGTTCCCATTTTTATTACAAATGAACCATTTCTGTCTTTGCAGAGTCTGTGTTTTGTGTGTTTAGAGCAGCGATGGCCTCCTCTACTATATGTTGCTTGTGAAGATCAACTAGGCTGTGGTATCATGACCATGTGGGTTCACTTAGGGAGGAGACAAGAAAGAGTTCAGGATGAGAAGGAAGTCTTTAGGGAGGAAGAGAGATCTGTGCTGAATAATTTGGAACTGCACTGAAATCATGCCCTAGCAGATTGTTTCCTGGCTAACCCTTACTAATGATGTGGAGATGTCAAGATCAAATGGCATATGAGGTTGAAGGAGAGAGCCTACAAAAACCTGAGACACACCCTATCAGATACTCCAATAGAATTCTATTAACAAGAGTTGATCACATGGGAGACCCCCAAGTAGAAGTAGTTCATAGAGGGCAGCCTTTGTTCTGTAGAAGCCCTGGAATCGAGGAGAATGTCTAGTGCCTGCTGGACAATCAATACAGATTTCAAAATGAAAAGAGAATCTGTTAAAGGATTCACTCAGAAGACTGAATAATAGAGAATTATCAACTTTTTCATATAAAACTCTTAGGACATGATCATCTTTTGTTTATTTGTTTGGGTTTGTGTTGCGCTTTTTTCAAATTCCTGGTGTGATAATGTACCCTTCCTCACCATAGTGGCTCTTGTCCTTGCTCATATTGTTTCTTCAAATTAATTTTGATTTTTCTTTTTTCCAACATCATCAATCTATTTAAAGCATTATTATTGTTGTTGGAAATGTAGGCATGATACTGAAGTGAAACAAATTTTATTAAATAAATATTTATTAACATGGTGGTTCAGGGTCTGCTTATGAGTGCAGAATTACTCTGTTCTCTGTTGTCCTAAGATTATGGCTCTCTCTCTCTCTCTCTCTCTCTCTCTCTCTCTCTCTCTCTCTCTCTCTCTCTCTCTCTCTCGCTTAGCATGGAACCATAGCCTGTGAGCATCACTATCACCATGCTTCATACTTCCCTTCACTCCTTTAGGTGATGAGACAGGGTGCTAGAAATGGATAGATGTTGGTATTTTCCTTCAGTTGCACATAGGTTAGTTATAGCATATTAGGGTTGAATTACGACCTTCTTATACTCTTTATATGGAAATTAGGCATGATCATAAGATATGTTTATGTGTCCCTTCTGATTGATGAGATTCAGAATTTCCCAGAAGACATTGTTGGCAGAATTTCTCTGTCCCACCTTTCAGTTCCCAAATATCCACACAGAAGCTTATTATTAATTATAAGTGCTAAGCTGATAGTTGGTTTGTTACTATCTCTTACAACTTAAATTAACCCATATTTCTTATCTATGCTCTACCCCATAGTGGTAACTTTTTTTCAGCATGGCATGTTCATTTTGCTTCTCCCCATGTCTCCTGGTGACCATGCCCTTCCTTATCCCAGAAAGCTCTCTCCCCATCTGCAATTCCTGCCTAACCTCTTCCTGCCTAGCTATTGGCCATTTAGCTCTTATTAAACAAATGAGAGCAACATATCTTCACAGTGCACAAAAAGATTGTTCCACAACAACATGCTTCTGTGTATATCTGTTAGCATGATTCACAGATGGCATTAATTGAGGGGTAGATCTATCCTCAGTGTTAGCAGCATGTTCAAAGTAGGAGGTTCACATACAAAGAGGACCAAAGAAAAAAGGGTGTGTCTACCTCTCTTCACTTTTTTTTGAGCAAGTGTGTCTATTGATGTTGCTCTCTTCCTCTGCTGATGTTAGATTCCAATTTCTTCAGTCCATACAACACAGAATTCATACAAGTGATTCTCTAGGGAGCTACCATGCCCAGGACAATACCTGACAATATGGCTGGTCTTTCATCCAGGTTTGGTCCTGACCTTATAATTAATTAGAGCTAGAATTACACATGCAAGTCTCCCTATCCCAGTGTCAAATTCCTAGTTTACTAAAACTCTAAGGAGAGGGTATCAAGTACATACTAATAGCCTTGCCTAGCCACACCCTCAAGGGTCTCAGCAGTGATAAAAATTAAGCAATAAATGAAAGTTTGACTAAGTCATATCTCACAAAGTGTTGGTAAATTTTGTGCCAGGCACCTCAGTCATACAATTAACCCAAATTAATTATTCTCGACATAAAATGTGTTTTTAAACTTAAACTAATAGAATTAAAACTCAATTAATATGTAAAAATTCATTATTGGACCTAAACTCAGTAACGAAAATAATTCTAGTTTATTCAACACACAGCTAAGACCCAAACTGGGATTAGATACCCCACTATGCTTAGCCTTAAACTTAAATAATTAAATAACAAAATTATTTGCCTGAGAACTACTGGCCACACTTAAAACTCAAAGGACTTGGCGGTACTTTATATCCATCTAGAGGAGCCTGTTCTATAATTGATAAACCCATTATACCTCACCACCCCTTACTAATTCAGCCCATTTCTGCTATCTTCAGCAAACCTTAAAAAGGAACAAAAGTAAGCAAGAGAACACCCATAAAAAAACATTAGGTCAAGGTGTAGCCTATGGGGTGGGAAGCAATGGGCTACATTTTCTTACTAAGAACAATACACTACCCTTTATGAAATCTAAAGGACAAAGGAGGATTTAGTAGTAAATTAAGAATAGAGAGCTTAATTGAATAGAGCCATGAAGTACATACACACCACCCGCCACCCTCCTCAAATTAAACAAAATAGTTATACATAATTCCAACAAACAAACTCATGAGAGGAGACAAATCGTAACAAAGTAAGAATACTGGGAAGTATGCTTGGATTAATAATAGCGTAGCTTAAACTTCTGGTCTACACCCAGAAGACTCCATGCTCAGTAGGCACTATGAACTAAATCTAGCCCTATGCACTAAAAAAGTTGATAAAGCAAAACATTTAAACTAAATGGAGTATTGATGAAAGAAACTTTTTCTAAGGAGCTAGAGACAGTACTGCAAGGGAGAGATGAAAGACATGTTTAAAGTACAATAAAAGCAAAGATTAGACCTTGTACCTTTTTCATAAGGAGCTAACTAGAAAACCCCTAACCAAGAGAATGTTAGCTAGGGACCCCGAAACCAAATGAGCTACCTAAAAGCAATTTAATGAATGAACATGTCTACATAGCAAAATAGTGGGAAGTCTTCTAGGTAGAGGTGAAAAATCTAACGAGCTTA